GGGATTGCATGCCCCCTAGTCTACTCTTCCAATTAAGCGCTTATTCGTCATGTTCCATTCGAGAGGTCCCAACATTGGTGCTCTACCCGGCTCGCTAGCACGTCAGAGTCTAACATGTTCCCCATTTCATTATCTGCAAAAGAAAAGGGATGGAATGTCATTTCCAAAATTTGTTAAGGAATAAGACATACCGTTTTCTTTCAAAAGGGGTAATCTTTTCTTGATCTGCCCCTGACTTTTGTACGAGATGATGTTTCGCTCATCATGGAATCAAGGAATGCTCAGCATTCTCTTTGACTCTCTGGGGCTGATGTCATCCACCGGTAGTAATGAGATTTGCCCCATGTTTCATTTGAATATTGGATGATCTTCGCTTGGACTGCCCCAATCAGATGAGTTGGTCCGCTAGCATCATCAGGATCTGATGTGCTCTTCAGTTTGTGTCATTTTCAAGTGTCCCCTTTGTAATAATAAATCAAAAAGGAGTATGCTCTGAGACACGAAGTGAGCGAGTTAGAAAAACAAACAGGGCTATGAGCATGCATGCTTTTCCATTACCATTCTTTTTTTGCCCTTTTGAAAAATGATAAAACGTTTGTTTTATTTTCAAAAGCTTATAAACGAGGAAGCATGAGGAAGTCCGGGCCTCAGAACACCTTCCTTTACATAGCTGGATATCATCAACGGGCCGGTTTGGTATACTACCTCATGCCCTCAAAACATTGTTTATTTACAATACAAGGATTTACAACCTCAAAAAAGGGAGAGTTCAAAAAGACATTTCTTCCAGCAGAAATGACAACAAAAAACAAAACACAAGGATAGCCCATTTTCTAGGGATTCATGCGGAAGAGAGAAGTTCTACTCAAGTGGGCTTGCACTCATTCCCTTCATCGGTCTGGAATGAGAAAGTCTTGGTGTCCAGCAGGTTTTGAATTCGGTGCTAGAGTATAGCACCCATTAGTTGAATGCCCGACCTCGCCCATGTGATAATCACACTTTTCAGACAGATTGTAGTTTGAAAAGCTCTTAGGATTAGGTCGCTTTGGTTCAGTGGAGAGCAGTCCCTTCTTCCGGAGTATTGCCAGCATCTGAGACGGAGGTCCTGGGAGGGGAGTGAACTGTCTCCGATCGTTTCGCTTTTGTGATGGAGGAATACTGGGTTTGTATTGTTCATGTCGCATGAACTTTGGGCATAGGGTGCTCAATTTCTTAGGATCAGGGGACTCGTGGACATTATCAGCTATGACATCTTTACCTTTATGGTTGACACTGGAGGGCTCCATTTGAATCATCACCCCTGATCTTGGATAGCAAAATGGAGTCATGGTGAGTTGGTCTAAGCGGACTGACAAATGTTCCACTTGTTTCGAGAGTTGTTGAAGCAAAGCGAAGACTTGCTTCATTTCGATCTCCATGTCCGCCACACGAGTTGTCATATCTTTTTCAGCCATTTCTACTTGGCGGGTTGGTATAATTCATAATTACCTGTTAAAAGAATGGCAACGAATGAGTATAAAATCTCATAAATGATCAGTCCATGACTTAGTTTAGTATTGCATCTGTCTATCACGCATTTTTTTATTTGCAAAAAATATCAGAAGCAAAAAAAAGTTTTTATTTATATATTCATTACAAACGGAGTCCCCGGGGTTTGAACCCCGGTCGCCTCGGACCACCTTCACTCCCGGGTACCACCAGGCCGAAGCGCTGGTAGTGTTCCGGGATGCGTTTTTTTTTATTTATACACAATTTTTTTCTTTTTTGAAAACGACAAGAAATTGCATGGGAAAATAACTATTTGTAATATGTTTATAAAAACAAGAGCATGAATTGGAAGTAAATATTCAGAAAAAATTTTAATAACTATTTCTTCCAAAACGATTACGGTATTAAATCCACAACTAACCTAGACTAATCATGGACCGACTGGGGTATACAAAAATAAATAAATTGCAAAGTGCATGAATAGAAAACTTACTTTACTAGGAACCATGGCAATCACAAAGACATGCGCATGAAAAGTGAGGTTCGATTTCTATCTAGACTGGCTCAGCAAAATGAAATTAAAAGGGTGCCTGACCGTCGCAGTCTCGCGGTGGTGTCAAGTCCTTTTAATCTCGGCCAAATCGAAAGGAATATCTTATAGTCACACGAATAGCGGCTAAAGATATTTCTTTATGATTTTTAGAAATAAATTTCGGGGAAACGAAAGGCAACCTCTACATCGCGGGCTCGCGTTCGAGGTCGTATCTTTCTTAACACCATCCTAAAATGCCCTATTGCGGCCCAAGTCCGGCAGCGTGGTTGTGTGTGCAATAGTGTAGTGCTAAATCATTAGAGCATGCACAACAATTTCCAAACAATCAATTCGAACCTGCAAGACAAATAACACCTTAATGTCAGGATCATACCTGGAGTCCTTGCTGCCAAACAAAAATTATTTTTGAACAGGATAAAAATTTTGGCTTAAGTCCACTTTTAAAAAAAATGCAAGTCCCCAGCGGAGTCGCCAGTCTGTCGCGACCGACCTCCGAGCTCCCCTTTTTGAACATGTAAAAGGAAAGGGGGGGTCGCCTGGTACGTGCTAAGTCTAGGTGCGGGACTTCAGTCGGGCTCTCCCAAGCCCATACCATATCGCGACTTAGGGTTTAAGTATTTAACATGCAAATGGTTTATACCGAGGAGTCGCCACTAATCGATTTGGGGTGGGTCGATTAGAAACCCAAATAAGGTGATGGGAGAATCACCCTATTCTTACGAATATTCCTACGAACCAGAAATTCACTGAATTCGGGGACTTGGTTACACTAGTTGGATAACTAATGCCCTTTCGGTACCTTTTTACCCTGTTCATTTTTGAAAACATTTGTCAGGCAATTTGGATTGATTTTTAGGACCTTTCTCCTAACATGTAAGGTGATCAAACGAGTGCATAATCAGAAATGATTAGCAGTCAGGAACACAACAATTCATGCAGCCTAAGGTTCTAACCTTAACTAAGTCAGATGACATTTAAAACACAACTCATGCGATTGTATTAAAAACATGCATAATAATACAACGGTAATAAAAATAACATACAAAATATTACCGCGCAATATCAGGCTTGTCTAATTTAAACAAGACAAAAATATGCATAATAATACTACAATAAATTAAACATTTAGAATATATCACACCAATTTAAAAAAAAATTTTAAAAATAAAAATAAAATAAATAAATACGGAAGAAAAAGAAGAAAAAGAGAAAAAAAATTAAAATTTTTTAATTTTTTAAATTTTAAAAAATAAAAATAATATAATATAATAATAACCGGGTCGGGTCGGTCAGGTCTGACCCGGGTCAACGGACCCGACCCAGGGCGTTGACCCGGGTCGGGTCGGAACTAACCCGGGTCAACGGATTTGACCCGGGGCGTTGACCCGGGTCGGGTCGGTTGATCCGGGTCGGGTCAACCCCGCTTGCACAAACACGCGGGGACGCCGGCGGAGCCAAAATTAGCCTTCCGCCGGCCGACCCAGACCGGCGCCGGCCCCGAATCCGGCCTCTGGGACCGTCCCCGAGCTTCCTCTGCCGTCCACTTACCGTCCGACGTCCGGCTCGCCGGCCGGCGGCCAAAAAACAAATCAGCCTCTTTGAGGCATTTCATCAAACAGGTGGGCGGCGCTGCAAAAAACAAGGAACTCCGACCTGCTTCGGGACTCCGGCTCACTCAGGCGGCTACAGATTGATCCCGACGGTGACTAAGGACCGGGAGGATGGTCGGTATGGGCCGGGATTCGCGCCTAACGGCCAGCACGAATCCCGGCCGACCGGTGCAGAAAAACATAGTAAAAACAGGGCCGGGACTGCTCACCGGTCGGCGGTGCGTCTGGGAGGTTTCTGGCTGGTCTGCGGGCGCCGGCGAGACGACTGGCCTTCTCCTCACGGTCGGTATGCTCTCGGTCTGTTCTTTCTCTCTCTCGGTTTTCTCTCTCAATCCTTGTCTCTCTCTGTTACTCAAAATGGCCGACCCGGCCTCTCTCTCTCTCTCTCTCTGGCTAATATAGCCGGCGACGACGCGTCTCACCTGCTCACGCACGCTGACGACGGCCTGCACCGGCCTACGCCGCCCCGCGACTTTCGTGGCCATTTGCAGGCCGGTGTAGAGGGGGGGCCTGTCTGAGGAGTGTGCAGAGAGACGGGGAAGAGAGGAAAAAGGGGGGAGAGATGGTCCGGGTTTTCGGGGGGGACGGGACTGGCCATTAATGCCAGTCCCGTCAGCATGCTTTGTCGGCCATCGTCTGGCCTGATGGGGACAGCGCGGAGGCGCTCAGCCGCTCACGCTCTGCGGCCGGCTGCAGGGGTGAACAAGAGAGGCGACAGGGACGGCGACGGGGGAGAAAGAAGGAGGAGAGGAGCTGGGCCGGGCTAGGCCCAACCACGCGGGGGGAGGAAGAGAAAAAAAGAAAAGCGGGATGGGCCGCGCGGGGAAAAGAAAAAGAAAAGGGAAAGGGCCAGGGGCCCGTGCGGGGAAAAAAAAGAAAAGGAAAAAGGGCCAGTCGGCCCGGCCCCGACCCGGCCCGACTCGCTTTTTTTTTTTGAAATTTTTTTTTTAAGTTCTAATAGAACCTATTAATGCAAATGTACCTAATTTCTATATGCAATGCACTTAAAATGAAATATTTTTTTGTTTTAGGAATTAAAGAAAATTAACTCCTAAACTTTGTGTAATTAATTTTGGGCAAATTAAAATAGGTGTCAACAGCGCTTCTTCTTCTTCCCTTCGCATCCTCTGTCTCTAGAAAATAGAACGTACTAGGAGACATCATGACAAACCAAAAACACGGTTTGGTTCGGTTTCCTCTTTCTTGTTTTGCGCTTCTTCTTCTTCCCTTCGCATCCTCTGTCTCCAGAAAATAGAACGTACTAGGAGACATCGTGACAACGGACATAGTGGTCCCGCTCGCTGGCACACTGCTCGCCATCACCCCCCTTCCTGACCCAACCCAGCGACATGGCCATGTCGATTCAAGCTCGTCGTCAGCCCCCGCCACAGCCACAAGCTTCCCCAAGTATGAGGATGCTGCAGCAACGGTTGAGCGGTCCAATGTGGCGGTGTAGCTGGAGGGACTGTGGAGAAGAAGCCGGCAACAAGAAGAAGAAACGGGCGAAGAGGAGTGTCGAGACGCACAAGATCTACATCATCAAGGTGCTGAATCAGGTCCCCCCAAACATCGGCAGCTTGAGCAAGGCCATAGGCATCATGAACAGCTTCATCGATGACATCTTTGAGAAGCTAACCCAGGTGTCGTTGAGGCTCGACGGCTACAACAAGAAGCCGATTTTCACCTCCCTGGAGATCCAGACGGTCGTCCGGCTCGTGCTCCCTGGCAAGCTTGCCAAGGACGCCATGTCAGAGGGCACCAAGGCGGTGACCAAGTTCACCAGCTCTTAGGTTTCTTTTGATCTGAGCGATTCTTGATGTAGTGCTCAGTTTTTGGTGTTAAAAACTCGGTGGGGATTGCAGAATCGAGAAGCTCCAGTGGATTTTGTGTTTTGTCACTATTTGGGAAATGAAAATGCTGCGAGGAAAGTGGAGGAGAGAGAATAAAGCGGAAAAGGGAAAGAGAGGGAAAAGTGGGCAAAAGAACACTACAAGTGTCATAAGTTGTGTACGACGCTCACTTTAGTGCCAAAAAATTTTTTTGGATCACTTTAGTGCTAAAATTTTTGAAAAACGATAACTTAAGTGCTAAATTTTTGAAAAATGATCACTTAAGTGCAAACTCCGATGCCGTACACAATTTTTCGCTAGAAATCCAACATGGCATTTTTTTTATTAATTTCTGAAGCTGATGTGGCTCGCCGGAGATTAGCACTTAAGTGATCGTTTTTAAAAAATTTTAGCACTTAAATGATCGCTTTTAAAAAATTTTAGCACTTAAGTGATCCAAAAAAAAACATTTGGCACTTAAGTGATCGTTTTTCCTCCGATTTGGCACTTAAGTGAGCCGGCGAAAACTTTTGGCACTAAAGTGAGCGCCGTATACAACTTATGGCACTTATAGTGTCCTTTTGCCGGGAAAAGTGAGTGAGAGGAGAGAAGCGAGTGGACAATTAGAGTAAGGAGAGAGAAAGAGCGCGCGTGAAGGAAAAAAAGAAGAAGGGAAAACCCGAAACCCAAACCAAACTCAAATTACCCAAATTCCATTACTTGTTACCCAAACCGAATGACACCCGAATAAAAAAGATCCAAAATTTTCTGTTCGATCGGTTTTGGTGGGGTTGGTTCAATTTGGTTAGGGTATTTTGGACACCCCTAATCTAAATAGCCTTTGTTAAGTAGCCAGTATTTACATTACACCTGATATTTTCAGTTTTACATCAATCGCATCGAGCTTTATATGTCCATCTTTGTAACGTGGATAGGGGGTTGCGACCCTTGCATGGGGGTGGTTGCGTAGACATTGAAGACCACGAGAAAACCAATCAAGAGGGTAATGGACAAACGGCGGCCTCGGGGCACTATAGGGGAGTGCCGCACATGGTGGGGTGAAGGCCAGAGTAGCTAGACAAATTGGAGGATTTTTAAAGATTTTAATTCCTATTCTTGATGGGATTTTTCATAGGAAAAGGACACTTAAAGTGTCATTACTTTCGTATAGCGCTCACTTTAGTATCAAAATTTATCAAGTGATTACTTATATGCCACTTTTGTAAAAAAAAAAACGACCATTTTAGTGTCATCTCCTATTTGGGTTGCCAAAAAATCTGACATAGCAATAGTTTAATGTTTTTCTATTCGACGTGGGTCACCGGTAAAGTGAGTCAGCACAAATTGCCCTAAATGACGTCATCCATGTGTGTTATTTACCCCAAATTTGTAAATTGGGGCTAAATTCGTTCTTTTCTTCAAATCCTAATTTTGATGTGTTCTTCAGCCGAGAAATTAGGACAAAATTAGGTGTTGAAATTTGCAATGGAGAGCAAGAGCTGGATGAACAAGAATCAAAAAAGAATCAGACAAACAAGAGCTACGAAGGAGAGGAAGCAACATGGTTACTTGAATGAATTGGTTCTTGTAATTGGGCTTCTTTGGACGAAGGTGAAGACATAGATGAAGAAGAAGACGAATAAGATGAAGTAGAAGATAAGGTAAATTGGTGCTTTAGTTGTTTTCTTCGAACCCTAACCTCACAACCGAATCCTCCGTTTCTATCTCTTCTTCTCCGATGGTTGAGTCATGGTTCTTCAATCTTATTCTTCTCCGGTCAAGCTTTCAAGAGAAGACTCGAGAATGAGGGATTCATTGTCAAAGTCAATTTGGGGGAATAAAAAGCCAAACGAAGTTGTTTTGGCCCTTTTTTGCCACGTTAGTCGAAAATTGTTCATGCCAAACTTGAGTTTCTTTAAAAAAAAAAAATCATTTGGGAGTCAAAATTTAATTCAAAAGGCCATGTAGAACGAATTGTCAAAATAGACACTTAAGTGATGATTTTTTACCGATGCAGCATTGAAGTGATCGCTCGAAAAGTTTATTTTACTGAAATGAGTGTCGTATGAAAATTGTAGTACTTCTATTGTCATTTTCTAGATATTTCATATTCCGGAGGATTTCTAATCCTATCTTATTCTATCATATCATATCTTATCCTAATCAGTGCATGGTTTATCAAATGTAGCCTTAGGGGTTTAGTTTGTTACTCTGGGCAATTCGTGTTTTAGGATCTTGCCACTAGCGATTATCTCAGCATATTTGACGCAGGCTTCGAATAATTTTTTGCATTAAACATTCATGCAAGATATTAATGATTCTTATATAACATAAATACCATTTTAACTTTTAGCGTTTGTTGCATGATTTGTCAAATAACTATTTAGCACGATATGCATGATACAGGAAAATTTACTTTCTATATAGAGTCGCCCATTACGGAATCAATCAGGCCTTAATAAACAATTACGCCTTGTTATGAATGGTCAAAGCCATCGTCAGACTACCTCTTCAGGATACGATAGTCCGGTTCCTAGTTCCAAAAAAGGGAAACCGGTCCCATCGATCAGGTTCCTATTTCCTGGGTGTGAACCGGACCACACAAAAAACGATCATTCCTAGTTAGACTACCTCTTCAGGGACGGCTCGTCACACGTGTCGTCATAGTGTGGCTTCAGGGCTTGTCCCAATAGCAATGTAAATAGGGGCGAGATCTCTCTCTCTCCATATAAAAAACGCAAGTGCTACTTGCTTAGCGAAATGTTCAAATCAAGCAATACTTTTTGTAATACCTTTTCCGTGAGTATTGAAATTTTTCATTCATGTGTTACAAAAAAGAACAACAATGATAAAGATACTCAGAGCCCTCACCAAAAATGTGTTTTGAGCGTCGAGACAAGACTGCATTTGGTTGTTTACATATATTCAAACATCTCATATTCTTGTAATTGGTGTGACGACGTTTGGTCCAAACTTCACATCGGCAAGGGACTAACGAAGAGCAATGTCACATAATCTTTGAGCATGGTTCCAGAATGGGTGTAATTATCCCCATCGCAGTATAACACATCCATCACCCGCGAGAGATTGATCATTTGTGTGAGAATCGGCATAGGGACTGCGGTTGGACGTAGAAACTCTTCATTAGTGTCCTTCCACGTATCGATGACTTTATTCTGGAGTTTCTTCCCAGCTTCCCGCTCTGAGAGGCCATGTTCTTTCATCAGCAACTCCACCGTAGATACTAAATGCCCCCACTCCCCCCCCCCCCCCCCCTTTTGCTCAAACGGCATGCAAACGACATAGGTGTTATTAGATTAATTGGTGGTCGATCTAATTTTATTAGGCTGTTGGAGGATAATCATGTTTATACTATACCTCGTGAGACGAAATGTCATCCATGAGCCTACAGATGGTTTGTGCAACCTTCACAATCTTGCAGTTGCCAATCGACCATTCGAAAGCATGTTTTGTGACCACATCGCCCATTCCCACAAGTGATGTAGTCGCCATCATTCCATAGCCAGTCATTACTAGTTGAAGGGGCATGTACTCCTCCAGTGTTGGTGTGTAGTTGGTTAGGAACCATTTGGCTTCCGGATAGTAGGCTCTCGCGAGCTTCTTCATATGAGAAATTAAACACAAACAAGAATGTTGGATTTCTAAGTAAAAATTGTGTTCGATGCATGTAAAGTGTATAGATTATGCTTACGGATTCTTTTGCATAGACGAGGCAGTATGATCTTCCTTTTGTGGCCACTTCATTCCCAATTTGTTGATAGACATGAAGAAGCTCCATGTAATAAGCTTGCATATACTCTGGTAGTCCATCCATGGCATCAACATCCCAGTTGGATTCAAATCTTGGAAAATGACACTTGAATCTATATAAAATTGATCAAATTCAAAAATTTGAGAAAGAGAATGCGGATCATGTACTTCTGGATTGCTTTAGTGAGAAGTACGAGTTCTTCCAATGTGCCATAGACATAGTATGTAACAGTCTGAATTTTCGATCCTTTTCCCGGGATCTATGAAATGAATATTTTGGCCAATGCACTTGTAGTGAAATCTCACCCGGAAATGCGCATTCACGGGATGCTAACCTTAGGGGTAAGGCTATTACGGGATTGAGTTCGCACGACCAAAGAACTCGACCTTGGTTCGATTTTCGACCATATGGATTGACGAGGGAATGTTTTGAGCCAACCGAGACCCATCTATTTGATTGATCGTGTCCAAAGGGCACTAGTGACAGACCCTCGCAATTATATGACGATCGAGGTCGCCTTGGCTCGAGCAAACTTAAACGTGATTTGACTTAGTGTCGGTCATGGGTCGAGAGCGCGTAATCCTAATGAGCCACCCGTTAGCAAGAGATAAGCTAAAGTCGCGATTGTTCAATTTTAGTCATTTCTTAGAATTCGGGCCTGGGAATCGAGAATTTTGAAAGTGACAATTTTGAGCGGCCGATGACGTTTTTGGCTTGGCCAACCTTGGGGCCACCCATTTCTGCAAAAAAAATGGATTTCGGTTCGGGGCTGGAAAAATTACGGTTTTGCCCCTAGGGACACCAATGTTGGATTTTGAGGTCGTTTGAGGTTATTTTTCGAGGCTAGCGTCATTTTGGGGTGGCCACGCGCATTTGGAATAGTTACGGCCAAAAATTGGAATTTTGGCTCGGAAGCGAAAAATAATATTATTTTATTCCCAGGACTTTGCAGTCGATTTTCGAGGGCTTAAGAAGCTATTTTCGCGATTCCGACGCCATATTATGTTGGCCACGCACATTTGGGGTTGATTTGGACAAAAATTGAAATTTCGCCCCGAGACCGGAAAAATGACCATTTTGCCCCTGGGCTATTTTTCAGTTCCGAATTTTAGGATAATTTTGGGATTGATCAGGTCTGAAAAATCAGCTGCATTATTGGACCTTGGACGCTTTTGCCCCTCAATTATTG